TGACCGGGCGGGTCTCGAACCCGCGGGCTCAGGCCATCCACTCACCTCAGCCTCCCAAAGCGCGGGATGACAGGCTGAGCCACCGAGCCCGGCTAGCACTTCTTTTGAAAGCAAATGTCAAATCCAAAATTTAAATGAAAGAGTTTTGGCTTTGACATAAAAGTGAATCGATGTGGGAAGAACACAATGGCGTGCATTCATGATCACGTGTTAGAGGGGTTTTAGATACTGCATTTCACATAATTCAGGGGGACCTATGGAAGGACAAACGGAGAAGAGGGGAATAGACAGACATCGAACCGAAAGTAATTCTAGGCGTCTGCTCCGTTGAAGCCTGGTGAAAAGCGAAGCTATGCAGTGTTCTCAGCGGAATTCCATATGTGACGAGGACACCTGCTACATATGGAAATCGTAGCAGTCCAAGCCTCCACAAGCTCTGGAAGAGATAGCCTGATCCTCAGACACGCTGGGCTGAGATTTTTCTCCTTGCATCAGGGTGCCTTGCCATAGCCGCGAGTCTAGCCGATGGAAGTTTCCAGAATACTCACCCCATACTCACTTTCCCATACTTTTTAGGACATTCTATGTCAGAATTCCAAACACCCTGGAAAGAGAAACAAAATGAAATTCAGTTATTAGCCTAAATGTACTGAACCCTACCTCTAATTGGCACCCCAAAGAGTCGAATTCCATGTGACCAGGTTTATCATTTTTTACTGGCAGTTAGAAGGAGGCTCTCATTCAGAGACACCTCAGGGAGAAGGATAAGCCTATAAAGGAGAGAGGAAGTATTTGAAATGGAGAATTTAAAGTCACTCTTGAGTTTTCTCTGAGTATCATTAATACTGAACTTCTCCTTGTCTGTGAGTATTAAACAACTTCTTGTCTTTCTGAAAGTGTTTTTCCTTGTACACCTATTGTCTCTAAAATCTTATAATCCCCCAAATGATCGCCTCCATGGGCATGTGAGGAAACTGAGGCTGAGGGAAAGTGAGAAAGTGTCTCTAGGGTATTTGCATTCTTTTATCTCCTAACTCAGCATTCTTTTCGTTTTTTCTGATGAGCTCGCTCTAGAATTCTAGCAGAATTAGGAAGTTAAGGATGCTAGTGATTATTTTGTTTTGAACCCCTTCCAATCCTCTCATTCATACCATCCCTAAAAGCCACAAGTTTCAGTCTCTATGAAATTGCCTAATGTGGATATTTCATATAAATGGAATAATATAATAAACTGGCATTTTGTGCCTGGCTTCTTTCATGTACTATAATGTCTTAAAAGTTCATTCATTTGTAGCATGCATCAGTACTTCATTGTTTTTTTAAATAAATAAATTATATTTTATTGTATAGATATACCACATTTTGCTTATTTATTCAATAGTAGATGGATTTTTGTGTTGATTCTACTTTTGACTATCATAAATATTCACGCACAAGCATTTGCATGGTCATATTTTTTCATGTCTCTTAGGTGCATATCTCCTAGTTGACATGCCAGGTTATTTGAGTAATTGTAAGTTGGATTTCTGTTACTTGTGGCCAAAACCATTCTAACATGATTTAAAGTAAACAACACAAAGGGAAAGTCCTTGGTCTCTACACCCGCTCAAGCTGCCAATTTAATGTTATTTCCTTTCTTTGATGTTATCAGAGAAAGAATATTTAAGTTTAGGGGTGGTGAAATATCTTGCATATGATCAATCTTTTTAAAGAATTGTCTATTATGTCTTATTTTTGCAGTAATTAATAAAAGGGCTGAAAATGTTTGAAATCTCCTTTACAAAACAATATGCAGAATTTCAGAAAACTGTGATGGGACTTAGTTTCTTGGTTAGGGTAAACAAGTATAATCTTTAAAATATTTTTATTGATACATAGTATTTGTACATATTTATAGGGTGCATGTGATATTTTGGTACATGCATACAATGTGTAATGATCAAATCAGGATATTTAGGGTATTCATTACTTCAAACATTCATCATTTATTTGTGCAGGCAACACTTCAAATCTTCTCCTCTAGCTATTCTGAGATCCACAATATATTGCCTGTTGATATGTTGATAATCATAATCACCTCACAGTGATATTGAACAGTAGAGCTTATTCTTTCTATCTAACAGTATATTTGTACCAATTATCAACCTCTTTTCATTCCCCTGCCCCAACCCTTTCCTGCCTCTGGTAACTATCTTTCTTCTCTCTTCATTTATGAAATCATCTTTTTGAGCTCCTACCTATGAGTGAGAACATGTAATACTTATCTTTCTGTGCCTGGCTTATATCACTAAACACAATGACCTCCGGTTTCATCTGTGTTGCTGCAAGTGACAGTATTTCATTCTTTTCTCATTAAATTATTTTATTTTATTTTTAAAATGTGGAGTACTAATGAGGGTTAGGTACATACATGGTCATCATATAGGTAAAGTGTGGGTACCCTTATTGATGATATGTGCCCTCCTCCTCTGGCAGTGTCCTACTACTGCCAGTCTCTTATCGTATTATGATAAATGTTCAGGGTCCACTTATGAGTGAGTACATGTGGTACCGAGATCATTGTTTCTGTGAAAAATCACTGAGTTTTACCGACTCTAATTCCATCCAGGTTGCTGCAAAGTTCATAATTTTGTATTTATTTATGGCTGCATAATATTCCATCTCATTTTTTCTTATGGCTGAAGAGTATTGAATTACATACTTATACCACATTTTCTTTATCTATTCATTCATTCAGGGATACTTGGGTTTATTCAATTCCTGAATAGTGCTACAATAAACACATCGGTGTGGGTGTCCCTTTGAGAGGTGGATTGAAACAAATTTTTTATTTTTAGCATGTGGGGTACAGTTCAGGGTTAGATATACACCATTCCACTGTGTATATGTATACCACATTTTTAAATCCAGTCCTCTTTCAATGGGCAGCACGGTTGGTTCCATGTTTTTGCTGTTGTAAATAATGCTGCAATAAATAGGTATGTGTAGGTATCTTTTTCTTTTTCTTTTTTTTCTTTTAATTTTTATTGTAAAGATGTGGGGTACAATTCAGGGTTAGGTACACAAACATTGATCATGCAGGTACCCCTGTTAATGAAGTATGTCCCTCCCTCCCCTAGCAGTTTCCCTCAACTGCCAATCCACCCCCCCAACAGTTTCCCATGACTGCCAATCACTTTCTTATAGCATTATAATTGTTCAAGAGCATCTTATGAGTGACAACATATGGAACTCTGTTCTTTGTTTCTGTGATAAGTCACTGAGCATGATAGACTCCAAATCCATCCAGGTTACTGCAAAGTCCATATATACACAATGGAATACTATGCAGCCATAAAAAAGAACAAAATCATGAATTTTGCAGCAACCTGGATGGAGCTAGAGTCTATAATACTAAGTGACCTCTCACAGAAACAAAGATCTGAGTACCACATATTCTCACTCATATAGTGAACCTTGATCATCCAATGCACTACTATAAGGAAATGACTGACAGTGTTGGGAAACTATTGGGGGGGATGGGACTAATGGTAGTAAACATCTGTCTGGAGATGGGGAGACACCAATTATCAACAAGGGGTCCTGAATGAAGCATATTTGTACACCTAACTCTTGACTGTACCCCACAATATCAAAATAAAAAATATCGATTGTAGGTATCTTTTTCATAGAATGATTTGAGTCCCTCCAGGTATATTCCCAGTAGTGGGAGTGCGTGGTTGTATGGGAGGTTGATTTTTAGATCTTTTAGGGATCGCCACACCGTTTTCCACAGAGGCTGTACTAGTTTATACTCCCATCAACAGTGTAGAAGTGTTCCTTTTTTGCTGCATGCTCTCCACCATCTGTTGTTTTTTGAGTTATTGATGATGAACAGGCAGAAGATTAAAATAAGGTCCCTGCTTATCACCATACACAAAAATCAACTTTAAGTGGATCAAAGACCTAAGCGTAAAACCTCAAACTATAAGAACCTTAGAAAATGCAGGAGACACTCTTGTGGAAATTGGAACTGGCAACCAATTCCTGTTCAAAACCCCAAGTACCATAAGAGATAAGATAGCCAAGTGGGACCTCATCAAACTGACAAGCTTCTGCAAAGCCAAAGAAACCATCAAGAGAGCAAGGAGACAGCCCACAGAATGGGAAAAAAAATATTTGCCAACTGTATATCTGACAAAGGCCTAACATCTAGAACCTACAAGGAACTCAAATGTGCCAAGGAGAGAAAAACAAACAGCCCCATTACAAAGTGGGCAAAAGATATGAATAGAGACTTCTCAAAAGAAGACAGACACATGAAACAAGCTCAGCCTCACTAGTCATCAAATAAATTGAAACTGCACTGAGATGCCACCTAACTTCAGTCATGATGGCTATCATCAATAACTCAAAAAACAATTGATGACTGGAGAGGATGTAGTGAGAAGATACACTGATTTTCTTTTCTTTAGATAGATATCCAATAGTGTGATTGCCAGATCCTATGGTAAGTTTATTTTTAGTTTTTCAAGACACCACTGCACTGTCTTCCATAATGGCTACACTACATTAATTTCCACTGTTGTGGGAAAGTTATTTTTTGTCCTTTTGATAATTTTCATTCTAAGTGGGATAAGATTATATAAAAAATAGCCGGGCTCAGTGGCTCAGCCTGTAATCCCGCGCCTTTGGGAGGCTGAGGTGAATGGATTGCCTGAGCCCGCGGGTTCGAGACCTGCCTGGGCAGCGAGACCTCATTTTTACAATAAAAAAAAAAAAAAAAAAATCAGCCAAGCGTGGTAGCGCATGCCTGTAATTCCGGTTACTCGGAAGGCTGAGGCGGAAGGATCACCGGAGCCCAGCAGGTCGAGGATGTGGTGGCCGGGAGCAGCCACTGCACTCCAGTCTGGGCGACAGAGTGAGACTCCAACTCAAAAAAAAAAAAAAGATTATATCAAATTGTGGTTTTATTTGTATTTCTCTGATAATTAGTGATGTTACACATTTTGTTTTCATATGCCTGTTGACCATTTGCATGTCATCTTTGAAGAAATGTCTACTCAGATACTCTACCCGGTTTTTAATGGGACTGTTATTTATTTTTTCTCTTGAGGCTTTTGAATTCCTTTTATAACCTGGATATTCCTATTGTTGATGAAGTCTTCCTTTTATAACCTGGATGTTACTCCCTTGTTTGATGAATAGTTTATTATTGTAATATTGTCTCCTCTTCTGCAGGTGTTTTTTTAAACTCTGTTGATAGTTTCCTTTGCTGTGCAGAAGTTTATAGTTTAACATATTCCCATTTGTCTATTTTTGTTTATTTTCGTTACCTGTGCTTTTACAGTCTTGGCCATAAAACGTTTGCATAGACCAGTGTCTTGAAGTGTTTCCTCTATGGTTTGTTCTAGTATTTTCATAGTTCTGGTTCTTACTTGTAACATTTTAGCTTGAGTTGACTTTTGCATATGGTGAGAGATAGAGGTCTAGTTTTATTCTTCTGCATATGGATATTCAGTTTTCCCATATTACAGGGGGTTCTTTCCCCAAAGTAGGTTCCTGGTGCCTTTGTCAAAAGTCCGTTGGCTGTAAATATATGACTTTATTTTTGGGTCTATGTGT